GTCCACAACATCATTTTTAGGAAAGACAGAAATCCCATCGTCGCTGAGGACAAAGTTTCACCTCTCGCCTTCGGTCCATGTTAGCCGTTAGTGTGCGGAAGCCAGTTGGGCCATCCTGCTCTTGAAGCCCAACAATGGCTTCTTGTTGGGACATCATCCGTAATATTCACCAGGTCGCGGCCGATGTTGGGCTGCACTTGGACTTTCATACGATTAGGTTCAAACCAGAAAAAATCGTCTCTTAGTTGGGCATATCGGGGGTACGGGGCGTGCCAACCACCCTTCGAAGTATTTGAGGAGGGCCAATTTTCTTGTGAGAATACTTTTTTGTGAATGATCATTCTTCTTATGCTTACTCGGCTCCAAAAACACTAAAAACATTCGATAATATTGCTTTCGTAGAGATTGAACTACTAAGAAACAATTTCTACTTTGCATTCCAGATTGCAGGGTTTACCCCTTTCCGGACCGCCTGACACCCATGGGGTGTCAGGGACCATTTTCCCGAAGATAAGGTTTTTCGACAAAAACTTTTATGTTGTTACATATCTGTGTAAGATACTTCACTGTCAAACTCACAAAACTGCTGAAACACGTTGGACAATCTCACGGATAGGACATCAAAACCCGTCCCATAATTTCAAGCTGTGGAGGACCATCTGATAGAATAAGTTGGCTGTTGGTGAAAATCTTTTCTCCACTTTTGTCCAAGGTAACCTCACATCTGACAAACACTGGGGATTTCATGACTTCCCTCAGTCAATGTCACATCCCAACAGAGGCACACTATGCGAGCTTCGATGCAGTCTCGCTCTATACCAACGTCAATACACGGGACGCAATTGAAGCATTGTTGGCCTTGTGGCAAAGACACAGAGACGAAAATCTACACTTTTGGACTCAACGAAGATGAATAAGAGATTTACTCAAGGCTACACTGGAGCAAATGTTCAAGACAAATTCTAGCTCGCATCCGGGTTTAGCAAGATTAACGAATAGCTACACTGCTAGCAATGTATTTTGACCATTTGACGAAGATCGTAACCGCTGGAATATTTCTACCAAGACAAGAAACATTCACGCGGCGCCTCTCCAATGAACTGAAGAAACACTTAACAATTTGAATTCTCAAGATCCTAATATCCAGTTTACTGTAGAAAATCCGAATGTGGAGGGTTTTGTTCCATTCTTAAATACAAAAGTCCGAATAAGAGATGGAGCTACAGAATTAGTTTGGTATAAGAAACCAGCATCAAAAAATGTATTATTGCACGGTAGAAGCTGCCATCCTACATATATGAAAGCCAACATAGTACGGAACCTAATAACCACCAAGGAGAAAATTTGTACCCAACAATCTTTCGAAGTAGATTCGATGGTGGACAATATTCTAAGGGAGAACGGTTATGTGAAAGCACCAATATATACATGGAGACCACACTCGACACCAGATGGAATATCCATGGTGATGCCATATGTCAATGAAAACACGGCATTAAAAGTGAACAGTGTGGTCAAAAGTTCGCCTCTCCCGATACGATTAATATTCCGTCCGCCACCGAATCTCAAACGCCTACTCACATACTCGAGGCCCTATGAAGAAAAATGCGGCAGAGAGGGTTGTAGCTACTGTATCGATTCAAAAATATGTCAGCTCAGGGGGTCAGTTTACTTAGTAGAATGTCAGGGATGTGGGCAAAAATATGTCGGAGAAACGATGAGACCTCTTCATAGAAGGCTAGATGAGCACCGCAGGGCACTGAGAAATCCGTCAGCTTATCCTAATAGCAGTTTCTCCAGGCATCGTACAAAAGAACATGCACAAGAAAATCCCCCTACACTAGCAGTTAAAGTGCTACACCGCTCAATAGAGAGCACAATGGAGAGGAAAATACTGGAAGCCCTTGAGATAAAACGCTTATCACCCGAAATAAACAGCAAGGAAGAGCTACGTGACATCCTTCAAATTGTCACATAATATCATGCATTCCAATCGCTGCATGCCCTTCCTAATATTTAAGGGTGAGAGTAGGGTAGGTTATCCTTATTTCTCTCGTTGGGTAAGTTGAAGGTTCACGGAGGCAGACACGTGTGAGTTGGTCCAATATATCTTCTATTGCCGGCTTCACTAAGAATAAGCTATTTCAGGCCTGACGAAGGTGCTAGGCACCGAAATATCGCAATAATTTTGGAAGCTTTTGAGATTGAGTTCTTTTGAATCTTTTGAAGCTTTTGAAATAAACTTTTTGGAGCCTCGAATTGTTGTTCAACATTAAAACTCTTCATACAACAGAATTTATGACACTACCTGCATGTCGTATCTGATGCGATTAAACTCAAACGTTTCGGACACTTCCCGCTCCCTTTTCCCCATTACAACTTATTTTGAGCAGTTTTCATTCCTGCCTCCCTTTTATGGCCCTATCACTTTCATTATGCAACAGTTTTCTGTCATATTCACTATATATGTCCTCTTAATCATGAAAAATACAAAACGGGACAAAGTAATGATTTCAGTGGAAATACAGGTCCAATATATTTATTTATGCTCGCCGTGTAGCGCGCGCGCCCGCCACGACAAAAGTACGCGGTTTGGAAAGGGTTAAAAAAGGACCTCCTATGGAAAAACTGCTTTCTTTGCATATGAATTCATTTTGAAATTACACATTGCTCAATGGTTCAACTAAAATTAACGGAAACAAGTAAACATTGAAGAGTAGGAATCATAGTGAGGAGGGAAAAAAAAGTTTCCA